GGAGTATGTCAAGGCTGTATATTGTCACCCTGCTTATTTAACTTATATGCTGAGTACATCATGAGAAATGCTGGGCTGGAAGAAGCACAAGATGGAATCAAGATTGCTGGGAGAAATATCGATAATCTCAGATATTCAGATGACACCACTCTTATGGCAGGAAGTGAAGAACTAAAAAGCCTCTTGATGAAAGTGAAAGAGGAGAGTGAAAAAGTTGGCTTAAAGCTCAACATTCAGAAAACTAAGATCATGGCATCCAGTCCCATCACTTCATGGCAAATAGACGGGGAAACAGTGGAAATAGTAGCTGACTTTATTTTTTGGAGTTCTAAAATCACTGCAGATGGTGATTGCAGCCATGAAATTAAAAGACACTTACTCCTTGGAAGGAAAGTTATGACCAAACTCAGCATATTAAAAAGCAGAGACATTACTTTGTTCACAAAGGTCCATCTAGTCAAGGCTGTGGTTTTGCCAGTAGTCATGTGTGGATGTGAGATTTGGACTATAAAGAAACCTGAGCACCGAAGAATTGATGCTTTTGAACTGAGGTGTTGGAGAAGACTCTTGAGAGTCCCTTGGACTGCAAGGAGATCCAACCAGTCCATCCTAAAGCAGGTCAGTCCTGGGTGTTCATTGTAAGGACTGATGTTGAAGCTGAAACTCCAATACTTTGGCCACCTGATGCGAAGAGCGGACTCATTTGAAAAGACCGTAATGCTGGGAAAGATTGAGGGCAGGAGGAGAAGGGGACGGCAGAGGATGAGGTGGTTGGATGGCATCATCAACACAATGGACATGGGTTACTCAATGCATGGGTTTGGGTAGACTCCAGCAGTTTGGTGATGGACAGGGAGGCCTGGCATGCTGTGGTTCATGGGGTTGCAAAGAGTCAGACACGACTGAGCAACTGAACTGAACTGAACTGCAGGATAGAGTGCTAATAAGTACTTTGTAGACATTATCTTGTTTAACCTGTACACATCTGAGGTAGATGTTACTACCATATTACATGTGAGGAAATCAAGACTTCAGATCACTAGGTAACTTGCCCAGGACTCTACAACTAGTCAATAGTAGAGCCAGGATTTAAAGCGGGGTCTTCTACCTCTATAACCCATGCTCTTAACCCTACCAGAGGGCTTCATGTGCCCTGGCTCTCCTCCCTGCTCACGAGGGAGCTGTTCTTCTCAGATCTATACCTGGAATGAGGTGGCCTCTTAACTGCTTGCTCAAGTAAGACATGAGTGTCTTCTGCTTTGTCACCTACAAATTGGCACTTGCCATCTGCCTCTACAAGGATCAAAGTATGAGCTGCTGCAGCTGCTGTCTTTCAGCACCCCCTGAAAGTTCAGGCGAAGATCAGCAATGAGGAACTGTACTCTGGGAAAAACTGGCAGAACAGGTTTCAGATAATTAGATATTTTCAGAAGATTTTATGAGCCCAATTCTTGCATCTCCTTGTATCTAGAAAAGCATTAAAGCCCTTCATGATGACATCTGCTCATCGTGACTAGCAGTGACCTTCACAACACTAGCAGCAATATGCTGTGAAACATATGTGCTTGATTGCATGTAATTCCCCTTCACCGAAATCACATATATACTGACCATCTCCTCTACCTGTTTGGAGCAGTTTCTCAGAGCTATTTGAGATACTGTCTCCTGGGCTATAGTCCTCATTCTGCCCCTAAATAAAACTTCAACTCTCATGTTTTATTTGTGCCTTTTTCCCCCAATTGACAGCTCTTAGTCTGGCTTTTCTAAAGTCAAAGACAAATGTCTGTTGTGTGACTGATGTGTAATCTCCAGCATTTGCTAAAATCTGAGGCTGCCACTCTCCACCCATTTACAAGGCTTTCTCTGGAGTGACTGTATATCCAAGAGTGCGAAGTCGCCCTTTCTCTTGAACCTGACGTTGTACCAAAAATTTAATCCTGTAGTCTCTAAAAAGGAGAGGAATCCTGAGGACTGGGCATACGTCTCTAGCTGGCTCAGATACTTTCTGCACAATAAGGTTTGATATTCTAGATGGCCTGCATGAGAGGCAGTGACTGAGTGGAGGCTTTTTCCTTTTACTGACTCTGCAGGTAATCTGGGTCAATAAGTCAATGATTGACCCTAGTGTTAGTATATATTCCCAATGGACGTTGGCACAGGGTTTCCTCTTTCGTTATTAGTACTGTTGTCTCTTTGTGGATACTTTACATGAAGCTGGGAAAAAATTAAATCCAAGACTGCTAAGCTGTGGCCACATTTACTTGCACGCATTCGTGCTCAGTCAGTCATGTCCGACTCTTCTGTGACCCCATAGGCTGCAGCCTGCCAAGCCCCTCTGTCCATGGAATTTTCCAGGCAAGAATACTGGAGTGGGTTGCCATTCCTTTCTCAAGGGGGTCTTCCCAACCCAAGGACTGAACCCATGTCTCCTGCACTGACAGGTGCATCCTTTCCAACTGAGCCACCTGGAAAGCCCACCGCCACATTTAACACACGCTTACTGTGCATCTATATCAGGCAATCAGTCTGGGGTCAGTGTTAGACTCCCTCTTAAAGAACATACATGGACTGTTCCCATCAACACCTATTGATCATTGACACGGGCCAAAGTGGATTTAGATTTCTTCCTATGATACATTTCCTAGACTCCTTCCTTGGCTGGAGGAAGCTCCTGCAATACAAGCTATTCCTTAGCCCTATGGATTAGCAAAATTGTCCTATGACAGTTTTAAATGACACTAAAAAAAAAAAAATCACTGGACCAAAGGAAAAGGTAGCATTGGAAAAAGAACTAAGGATTGAGCTGAGGTGTTTTCCTGCCTGTGAGACATGGTTGAAGAACCTGAAAGAGCCAGGTCAAAGTGACCTCCTTTTCTTGAGTTATCTCGTGCAGAAAAAAAGCTTTTACATTGTGAATTGTGGAGGCCCCTTGGCATATATAGGATTTCTTGCCTCTGTAAAGCTGAGCTAAGGACATTATAAAATGCTACCTGAGTTTTCTTCCCCTTTCTGATGCATTCAGGTTATTTTGTACTTCTCTGGCCAAAGCTACTTTGGATAGCAGGAGCGAACAAATGCATTGAAATGTTGTGTGTCGTTGGCAACCTCAAGCTACACTAGGTGTCCCTCATTTGTGTCCCTAGGTCACCTTTTGTGGTGGTCAGCTTTGCGTCAACGTGTCATGCTTTATGTGTTTTAAGTAGACTGCTCTCCATGATGCAGGCACACCTCATGCAATCAGTTGAAAGCCATACGAACAAAAATTGAGGTTTCCCAGAGAAAAAATTCTGCCTTAGTACTGCGATATAGAAACTCGTCAGGCCCCAGAATTGTATGAGAAAATTCCTTAAAATAAATCTATCTACCTATCTATACACACCTTTTACTCCATGTGTTTTACTCAGCTCTCATCTCTACTCCGTTCTAAGCTCAAAAATGTGGACTATGTCTTATATCTTTGTATCCTCAAATTCCAGCACAGTGCCTTCTAAACTCAATGTATTCAATATTTTGAGATAATAGAATAATCCCTTCATAAAAGACTTGAATCAGAAGGTAAGTGACAACTGAGGCAAAGATGATTAACAGGGTCAGAACTAAGAATCTAGGGCAAAATGAGACTGGAGCGCAGGCAGCCCAACACTTGCAGTAACCAGGGTTATAAGCCAGGAATGCCAAAGGCCTGGAAATTAAATGAGCTTAATTTCAGCCCACCAACATAATGTCAGCTCAGCTTTATTCTACTAATCATGTGACCACTGGCATGACAGTTCACCTTCTTAGGCTCAGGGTGGCTGATCTGTTTGATCTTTTAACACACATATTATATGATTCTAAGCAAATACGATTCTAAGGTCAAAGCAAATGAACAGAAATTCAGATGGTTAAAACATGAAATAATGCTTGTTGATTCTACAGGTTATTCCCTACTGTGTATCAGGGACAGCACCGGTGGCTGGGGTGGTAGCCCTGGGACTATAAGCAGTAACAGTGCCGTGAAAATAGTTTGCTGAAAACTCAGACAAGGACAGAACTAGAATGACAAGGAGATGTATACAGGAAATATGTCCAATGTTATATAATCACAAATATGGTAGTTAACGCATAAAATTTGACTAGTTTTTTCTTTGAAATAAACAACTGTATCAACGAATTGTGCAGTGTTAAGTCAGCAGTATGCTTTAGCTTATTCTATAGATGAGGCAAATGTGAAAACAGATTAAGCTGACTTTTACAAAATAATTATTTATCTTTTTGAATGGGAAGAAATCTTCCATTTTGAAATGTATATAAAATGCTAGTCTCTAGATTCATAATATTGCTTTTTAAGCAACTTTTTCAAATGTTATTTTACTCTATGAGACTAACCTGTAAAAGAAATAAATAAACTTGGAAAATACAAAATAGTAAAAACACTTCCGCAGGGCACATGACCCAGAAGCCAATGACGGCCCTGAATTATAAAAGTTAGCAGTGCTTTCTGTTCACTATGAAAGCAGGATTCCCTGTTCAAACTAGAAATTGTTATTCAACAGAACAAATCAGGTCAAGAGAACCAACCATACAACAACAGACAGGAGGCTGTGTTCACATAAAGAAAAACAAGAACAAAACTAACAATCAAACCTCATTTCCTGAGACATAATGTTAATGGCTTCCCTAGTGGCTCAGATGGTAAAGGATCCACCACTGATGCAGGAGACCTGGTCAGGATGATCCCCTGGAGAAGTAAATGGCAACCCACTCCAATATTAATGCCTCGGAAATCCCATGGAGAGAGGATCCTGGTGGGCTAAGTCCATGGGGTTGCAAAGAGCTGGACATGACTGAACGACTAACATATATAATATTGATGGCAAGATTTCCAGGTAATTATCCTTTTATTTAGTTCAGATAAAGACTTCTAACACAGAACACTGTTAGGAAGTAACCTTAGTTTCGTGCTATGTAAAACTGATATAAGGCAAGTACTACATGTAAGATAAATTAGAAAACCACCATTTTCAATTGCCTCTAGAATTTATTGCAATCACCATGTTATAATAACAAAAGCATATCATTCTTAATGCATCTAATTTGACTAATTTAAATAAAAATCTATGATCCCAATCACACAAAGAGATAATTCTAAATTTACTTTGAAGTTGAATCAATCAATACATTTCTATTTGGAAACTATGCACCCAGTATCATTATAGCAGAGAGAAAGCTGCTGTTCTCACAGAATATGTGGCTAATTAACCTAGTAAATATCTTAAAATATTGGGAATATTGGAAAAATAACAAATTTCTCTGGACACTGTTTATCTTGCCTTTCTGAGAGACTTGTAGATTTAGGTGAGATTAGTTTGGCCAAGGGGTCTCATTTATTCCAGAGAATCATCAGAGTCCAATATAGTTCTGGGCTAATAAGAGATTAAAGAACCTTTATAAGGAGAAGTAGGCTTGGAAATCAAGCAGTCCTATTTTGAATTAGTATGTTTTAGTCAAAGGTATGGATTAATGATGAGTATCGGTTAGGAATTTCTGTAATGTCCTCCAATGCCAAGTGACCACTAACATCCTATTTCCTACTACAATGATTCCTTGATGAGAAGCAGAAGGCATAAAGAAAGTTGCCAGCTATAAAATAAACAGTACTTCAATGCTTATGATCACTAAAGAAAAACCTTTTTTTTAAATGTTAAGAAACTCACTGAATCAAATGAATGCTAAGTAGAGCAAACACAGTGTATATAAGACTGAGATATGAAACCTCTAATTACACAAGAAATCAATGGAAGGATTGATCATTTTAAGAGAAGAATCATTTTTCCAATAGCTCCACTGCTATGAATGATATTTTCATGAGCCTGGGTAGCCTTCTCCAGTAGATACTGGGGACCTATTACTGGTTTCAACCAACCAATTTCCATTCCGGCTTGAAGGGCTGCTGCAAACTGCTGAAATTCCTCCTGAGGGAAAGAAAACATCTTTTTCAATAGAGGAACACATGACAATTTTCAGAAGCATTAACATTTTTCAGAGTCTAAGAAAGCATTAAGAGTTTTCTCATAGATGTGTGGCTTTTGTCAACTTGTCCAGAACTATAAAAAAGTAGTTTCCTATAGGTTAGCCAACACCGCAATTTGTCTGTGGCAGTCTCAGTTTACAAAATACCTATTATTATGGAGTAATTAGTAATTACCAACAGTATCTCCTCTCACCTTCATAAGTGCCCTGGCTTGGAAAATAAATTATATTGTCACCCTAGTTATCTTCCAGGGATTAATCCTTAACCCACTTAGATAACTAACCTTAACATCTACTTAAATTTTCAGTCTGCCTGGGTAGGCAAATTACACCAATATTTAAATTAACAGAATCACTTTCCTACCCTGGTGGATGAAAACAGAGTAACTCCTTTTATGCTAGATTCCTTTGTCATGGTGTCCCGTGGGTTTATTTCAATAGTGCCTCTGCTGCCAACAACCTAGTAGGAAAAACAACATGTGTGTAGTTAAAGATTACTGCAAAATAGTGTTAAATTATGAAAAAACTGCAAAGTGATGGGAAAAAAATGAAATACTTACTATTACTCGTCCTCCATGTGACAAAAGATTCAAATCATTACTAAGATTTACATTAGCCAACATTTCAATAATCACATCAACTCCTTTTTCACCAACAGATTTCTATATAATATAAAAGAATGCAGAGTAGATTAGGAAAAAAAGATTATCATAGTGCCACATATTACAGAAATATATTTCAAATAACATAAAATGCTATATTTTTAAAGAGTAATAATGCCAATTTTAATATAATTTAATTATACAGTGATGCTGTAATTCCAAGGTACCAGCCACATCTAAAATGACAGATTTGTATTAAATAAATTGCTATAATGAAATAAAATTTGTCCAAAATTTTCATGTGCTTAGACTCAACTTGACTATAAAGTACTTCTTCCTTAGGTGAAAATTTTCTGTCTTCAAAATGTATTTTAATAGAGGAAGAAGCAACAAATCAAAAACTGCATTGGGGCTCCCATTTTTTATTAAAAAAGACAAAAGAAAAAAAATACTGACTTTTGGTATTGCAGTATTCTGTGTGTGTGTGTGTGTGTGCACGTTTAGTTGTGTTCTCAGTGGTCTACAATCAGCTTGGCACACTACTCCTTTTCTTGTGGGCTTTCTGATGTCAATTCTCAACATCTAAAACCAGCTCTTAAATAAGCTAAGCTATACATTTTCATTTTAAGAAAAAAATGAACCCCTACGCCCAGCACTGTGTGAGGTATTATGAATGTCAAGATGGACATAGAGAACCCAAAATAAAGAGGAAAATGGAAAACACTACAATTAAAGGTGTGATGTGATGGGCTAAGTACTGCATTGAAAGTGAAAGTGAAGTCACGTCTGACTCTTTGCGACCCTATGGACTGTAGCCTACCAGGTTCCTCTGTCCATGGGATTATCCAGGCAAGAGTACTGGAGTGGGCTGCCATTTCCTTCTCCAGGGGATCTTCCCAACCCAGGGATTGAACCCGGGTCTCCCGCACTGCAGACAGACGCTTTACCATCTGAGCCACCGGGAAACAAACCATAGGTTAGAGAGGGGGTAAAAAGTTACAGCGCTGATCACCTGCAAAGGTCAAAGAAAATTCCACAGAGATGATGACCTCGGCCCTGAGGGGTAAGTAGGAGTTCTTAAGTAGAACAGAAGGAATAAGGGGCAAGCAGACATGAGGCAATCAGTCTGGACAAAAGAAACAGAAGAGCAAAGATGTAGGGATGGAGAGTAAAAGCTGGAATTGGAAAGCGGCCCAGCAGAGCTGGAGTATGCATTTGTGAAGGAGATGGGGGCGGGGGTGGGAGGGGAGAGGTAGGAGCTAAGAGACTGCAAATTGGTTCAACTCTGAAAATACATCAAATGCCACATTAAAAGACTTGGACTTTGTGGGGACAGATGTTCATTAGTTAATTCTTGTGCCAGGCACTGTTTTAGGCACTGGAAGTACAGGAGGGAACAAGAAAACAGAAATTCCTATTCTCATGGAGCTCTCATTTATTTCTGAGGATTTTTTTTTTCTTTCTTTGAAACAGAGACCCAAATAACTCTGCAGACAGTAGAGGAGACAGAAGGGGGCATTAGATCAGCTGTGAAAAAGAGTCAAGACTGGAAAAAATGAGGACTAAATGAAGTTACAACAGTGAAGGGAAAAGAAAGAGAGACACATATGAAAGGCATGTCAGAGATGAAACTGATAGATAAGGTGACCAATTTGATGTGCAGGAGGGAGAAAGGTGATTAAACAACAGGAACAGGAAATGAAATGTGGGTGTCTCTCCTGGGGGACCAGACGAACGGCCATGTTTAGTAGGCTGATGGTGTGAGGAATGAAACAGTGATAGTGCAGGAAACCAGGAGTGTAAGGATGTGTATGAGATGGATCGGGATGAAGGTGGAGCACCAGAGAAAGTGGAGACCAAGAGGAAGATCTATGGAATACCAACTGAAATGAAGAGGAGGGAGACTAAAAGAGGAGTGAGAGAAGTGAGAAGAGAGCCAGCTTCCACGAGGTGTGGTCAGGGTCAACTACAGTGAGAAGTGAGCCAAGAGCAGCTGACTGGTGCTGGGATTATCAGCACCCCTGACAAGCCACGTAAGTAGCTGGTGTGTGCATGCAGGCTAAGTCACTTCAGTAGTGTTAGACTTTTTGTGACCCCATGGACTGTAGCCCATGAGGCTCCTCCGTCCATGGGATTCTCCAGGCAAGAATACTGGAATGGGTTGCACTTCTCTAGGGTATCTTCCCGACCCAGGGATCAAACCCGCATCTCTTACATCTCCTACATTGTCAGGCAGGTTCTTTACCACTAAGGCCACCTGGAAAGCCCTGGGGTGGAAGCAAAATTGCAGTGGGAGGTAAGGAAGGAAGAGAAGTTTAAGTACCCCCTACGTTTTCAAGAAATGTGTGGTAAAGGAGGGGAGGGGAGGAGAAAAGGTTAAGAGAATGTTTTTGGAGAATGAGAGACTTAAGCAGAAGGAACCAGTAGAAGAGAGAGAAGCTATAAGGTCTTGTGGTCTTAGAATTACATTGCAAAACAAAAACCTATTCTTAAAATAACTGGCCCATTTTCATCTTTGATAATGATATCAGGAGTGCATGCTCAATCAATTTTGCATTCCTCAACATATACAAAGGAGAGCCTTTATTCAGTTTTTTGGCAGGATGATTTAGGGGTAATAAAACAAACTCACACTCATTTTTTCCTCAGTTTATAATGACCTTGTTTACACTGTAATCAGTACCTGGAATATCCTAATTCTTTCTCAACATGAGCAAGTAGTTTGAGGATCAGCAAAGTAATCAGTGTTTAGTAAACTGTTACTATGGCAAAGATGGAGAACTCCAGAACCTGCTTGAATTGGATTGCAGCAATGGAATAGATGTAACAGTAACTAACTTCTGCCTCACCATTTTGGATGAGGTAGTTTCTCCTCCAAAAACATCCAATAAACAAAGAAACTTAATTCCCTAGGCCAGACAGATCCAGTTTGTAATTCATTTTCTATGGAAAATTTACACCAATAGAAGTTATATTAAGAATACCTTTTTGATGCCAGAGGTGGGGTAAGGGGTGGGGGATGGGTGAAATGGATAAAGGTGGGATCAAAAGGCACAAATTTTCAGTTGTAAAATAAATAAGTCATGAGGATGTAATGGACAGTGACTACAGTTGGAATACTGTATTAATGTTTGAAAGTTGCTAAGAGAATAGATCTTAAAAGTTCTCATCACAAGAAACAAAATTTTATAATGATGTATGGGGACAGATGTTAACTAAATTTACTGTGGTGATCATTTCACAATATATAAAAATATATGTTTAAAAAATGCCTCACAGCTGCGAATACAAAGCTGTGGCTTTACTTAAAATGTGATTTGCATTAAAGAGTACTGATTTTTATAACTATAAGCCTCTAAAGAGGCTATATTTTATTTAGTAAAAATAAACAAGACAGAAATGATAGTGAAGGGTTGAAAAGTACACATCTCTACTTTTAAATTAATTAAAACTTTAAAACACATAGGCAAAACAAACAACTTTAAGAGAGTAGTTGATAAAGAAAACTTATAAAAGAACATGAAACAAAAGTTTAGTTTTATAAAATTACAGAACAACTTTACCTTAATTTTATCAATATAATTAGCTTCTTTGTGATTAAACACTTTGTGGGCTCCATTTTGCAAAACAATCTTTTGTCCTTCCTCAGTACTAGCTGTGCCCAAAACCGTTAAGCCATAAGCTCTTGCAATTTGGCATGCTGCAATTCCAACCTTAAAAAAAAAAATAAAGCCCAGTAGTTTTAGGTACTTTGCATCTCTACAAATGTTTATTAAATACATACAATTAACGTGATGTTCTTCTAGGTTCTAGACTATTGCTAATAAATGTTAAGAGTCTAAACAAAGAAATAAGAAACACTGTGCAAAATGTTCACTTAGCATCTGCTTTGTGTAGAAGATACAGGGTTTAAAGATGGTCAAAATATGCTCAGTGACTTCACACTTTAACAGTACACATAAAATACTACATAACAACAGTAAGTCATCTACCACTTACATAGAAGAGACAGGTATGTGCATGGGCAAATTCACATTCATGAATATGATAAACATTTATTATTTACTATGTGCAAGATATATGATAGAGTGCCTGAAGAACTATGGATGGAGGTTCGTGACATTTTACAGGAGGCAGTGATCAAGATCGCCCCCAAGAAAAAGAAATTCAAAAATGCAAAATGGTTGTCTGAGGAGGCCTTACAAATAGCTGTGAAAAGAAGAGAAATGAAAGGCAAAGGAGAAAAGGAAAGATATACCCATTTGAAGGCAGAGTTCCAAAGAATAGCCAGGAGAGATAAGAAAGCCTTCCTCAGCAATCAATGCAAAGAAATAGAAGAAAACAATAGAATGGAAAAGACTAGAGATCTCTTCAAGAAAATTTCAGACACTAAGAGAACTTTTCATGCAAAGATGGGCACAATTAAGGACAGAAATGGTAGGGACCTAACAGAAGCAGAAGATATTAAGAAGAGGTGGCAGGAATACACAGAAGAACCATACAAAAAGGATCTTCACGACCCAGATAACCATGATGGCGTGATCACTCACCTAGAGCCAGACATCCTGGAATGTGAAGTCAAGTGGGCCTTAGGAAGCATCACTAAAACAAAGCTAGTGGAGGTGATGGAATTTCAGTTGAGCTATTTCAAATCCTAAAAGATGATGCTATGAAAGTGCTGCACTCAATATACCAGAAAATTTGGAAAATGCAGCAGTGGCCACAGGACTGGAAAAGGTCAGTTTTCATTTTTATCCTTAAGAAAGGCAATGCCAAAGAATGTTCAAACTACCGCACAACTGCACTCATCTCACACACTAGCAAAGTAATGCTCAAAATTCTCCAAGCCAGGCTTCAACAGTACATGAACCGAAACTTCCATATGTTCAAGCTGGATTTAGAAGGCAGAGGAACCAGAGATCAAATTGCCACCATCCACTGGATCATCAAAAAAGCAAGAGAACACCAGAAAAATATCTGCTTTATTGATTACACCAAAGCCTTTCACTGTGTGGGTCACAACAAACTGTGGAAAATTCTTAAAGAGATGGGAATACCAGACCACCTGACCTGCCTC